CACCCAACCATTCACTAAAAGTCGGTCGGCAACAAGCGCGAGTTTCGTCCCTTACCACTCTTGCACACGTTCAGTGCAAATTCCAAGTGTCGCCGCACATTTTCTTCAATAGTTTCGTCCGGACCCCTTGCGATATCCAGTCCCCTCTCCCTCAATCGAACTTCCAGAAGTGATGACAGGTCTTCGTCACTGGAATATTTCTGATTTACCATGTAATAGGGAAGAACCTAAGAGATTTGACTCTCTGATTTCCATTCATTAACAGAATGCGATGAATCAGAAATAGCCTTGCTCGGAGCGAACTATGGGGTGTGTCAATAAAGCTGTGTTTGGTACGGCGCCAAATCCGTTTTTCACGAGTTGTTGAGGTGGGCATGCGAGAACAACTGTTGAAAAACGACTGATACGAACGATATCACACAGACTTGTCGCTTGCTCTTCAATAACTGATAGAAAGTGGATTTGACATGCCGTACCACTCATTTCCTGACTGAACGCCCACATCATCTGCCAGCGAACGATTCAGTGAAACAGCGGAATCCATCTTTCCTCAATTCTAAAGAAAAATTCAACACTCTGCTGCCCAGTAATTGTGGAAAGGCGAATTCCCATGCTCTTCGTTTTTCTGTTGCTCTCACCCAGTAGTTTCTCGACAAATCGTAAAGTAGTTCTTCAGACCCTCTAAGTCTCGTTTCCTAACGAATTCTTCCATAAACTTCTGGAAAGCCATTTTTATTCAATAATAGTCTTACGGAAACCTTTCAGGTATACTGTCTGTTAACTATTACAAGAAGGAACATCTATGTTCATACAAGTTTATTATAGCTTATTATTATTATATTATTAACAGTAATGAGAAGGTTCTGATAAGACTTCGTGAAGGCTACGGTACATGGAAGCCAAAGACAAGACGATGCCAATGTTAAGCTCAAATACTGATCAATTTGCCGAAGAAAGTAATGAGAAATACGATGTCGTTGGTACTGGACCATAACACAGCCTTGTAAGTAAAATATAATGCTCTGGAAATCATCAGCAGCAAAATGATGATACCAATCGTGCTAAAATTTGCATAAAACACTGCAACTAAAACTCTAGATATTTGCCAGGAATTATGATAATAGAAATAAAATGCATATCAGAGACCGAAGCTGATTTAATGGAACACCTAAACACGCGAAATTACACAGATTGAACATACACAACTAAAATCCATTCCCGATATTAAATCGAATAAATCAACAATTGCGTTTGGGTAACTCAACGTTTAGACAGAGAACATAAGTCCCCTAACACTAGATTAGGCATCACGTAGACAACTGTCGTAAATTAATCTTGAAAAAAAAAACTTTGCAAGGAAGCAATGCTTTGTTAAGATTATGAGACGTACCACACAGATTCAATCGGCACCTAGACCAGCCAATCGAGATTGCAAAGCGGTGTGCATGGCTGAATCCATCGTCCTTCGTTTCTTTGCTTGAGTAGATGACAATTTTGCCTTCGTTTCATTCAAGGTATTAGGTACAGGAATAACGGCCTCACTAAAATAAGCCATTTCTGCTATTAACCCACGAATAGAAAAAGAAAATGAGCAGAGCCGTCACAGCAGCGATAAAAAAATTCTGTATACTATCGACCTTTATTACCTAAAACACGAAAAAAAAGCTTGGCTTGAAGACTTTCTATGGGCCGTTTAATTCGGTCCGTATCGCGAGTATGACACCTTTCTGAGGCTGGCGCACTTGAGCCTCTAAAAGGCGCAAATGGCGCCACCAATGCTCCACCAAAAGTCGGCGTAAACTTGCATACCACGAACATGACATCAATTTTCAGCCCTGGCGCCGACTGACGTCACACCCTTTCCCATTAAAAACAATAAAACTTGCATAGTTGGGTTGTTTGACGCTCTGATCACGAACGCTAGCGCTTTGCTAAGGCTGGGTTTGAGAGCAGAGTGGTTCCCTTCACGCCAATATCAGCACAAACAGAGCACAGATGGCCGTAGGGTCCTCCATTAATGTCAGTGCCAGGAATGAGTGTCATATTCATCATGCGGGTCAAATAATCCCAGTATACAAGTTCTCCGTGAGTTTGGCGATTTAAAGCATTTTGCAGCCGGCGCTCGTGGGCGGGCGCCAAGCAGTTCCAGGCCAAGCGGATGTGATATTCATATTCGGAAGGTTGAACTAATCTCGGAAACAAGTTTTCAGCCAAGTCTGCCTTCGTAGACAAAAAGGTAAAAACTGTTGTGATTCCGGAAGACTGGGGTAGTAGAAAGTTGGAAAGGGCAAAAATTTTCTACATTAAGAATTATACGAATTGTCGCGCACCAAGGATGGTCCCCAGTCGAAGTGGCCATTTGTAGTGAGATGTAGCTCACGAGACGTGCTTTTGGACGCTAATCTCAAATCTGCCTTCGAAATTTGCAGAACGATTCTCTGAACGGAGTTATGAAGGTTTCGTTGAAGATGGGGTCACACAATCAAGCGCGATCGCCGCGCATGTATACTCGCTAAGCGGACACACTGCCAGCAGCGCCATGACATAGTGGTAAGAGACTTGCTACACAGGCGTGAGATGAAGTTTGTGTCTAGTGAGAGATTAGCTTTTGCATTCCGTAAAGAATGTCTCTTCTGAGCCTAGAAAACCTATGAGCGCTGACATGTTGCATTCCGAGCTCCAATCGATGGCCGGGCTGATCTACCTGGTGGAGTAGATTACATTGTTCTGGATCAATATTGAATAAAAGTATGTGATGTGCCCGTGAAAATAGTTATTTTTGAGACGCTCACACAGTTCTGTTTGCGTTAAGAAGTGGTCAGAAACTTTTGCAGATCTTTTGCAGTCGCTCTTCTCACTGTGAGCGATTTCTCTGTTTTGATCGCTTTGTGTTACAATACCACATTTGTTTATAAAGATGAGAAGTCATCTTTTGTGGACAATATTGTAATGAGCGAAAACAATCCATATCGTGAGTAGATTAACTAGGTAAACCATTTGACTAACGAAGTACCATATATCAATGTTTAAACGTGTTTTCTAGACTCAAAAGAGACATTCTTCAAAACAAAAAAGCAAAAACTTGCCTCCCTAGAAACCTGAACCTCCATCAAACCTGTGAAAAGTCTCGTGCCACTAAGCCATGTCGACGCTGAGACGTTCGCTTCGCGGCTGTTCATGCATGGCGACCGTATTGACTATATGTCCCTTCATTCAAGTAAGTCTTCATAACTCCACTCGATTCAAAGTATGTTCTACAAGGTGGGACGCAGAATCG